CTCTGAGCACCCACCCACAGAACAGTGTACTGCAGTCGCAGCCAAATACTCGCAGGCTTTTTTGTTAAGGAGAAGCACCACAGGTGAATATGGCAGGATGGTGTCCATTTCTCCTATTTAAAAAAGAGATAAACATGCAGATGGTGTAAGAGAACTTTTTTGTACATGTTTTTTTTTTTTGTACAATTTTTAAGTAAATCATGTAGATAGTTTAAAAATGTACTGATTTATAACCTGGTAAATATGCAAACTGTCAGTTTATAGCTATTTGGCCATTTTTAAGTGAGTCAGTTGACTGATTCTGAGCTTGTAATTAAAACAAACCACACAAAATAAGTTGTTCCTGTTTGTGTGTCCCTGCTAGTTCTAACATCCAACGTGAGTGAGGACTTACGTATGCAACAAAGAAAAGCTCTGACTAGCTTTTTATATTTTCCTTCTCTTTCATTTGGCAGCTAGGTTTCCGATCAACTCAAAATCATCCCAGAAAATGCTGCATCGTAATGTAAAACATAAATTCTGACAATGAAGATTGATGCAGCAGTGAAACAGAAAAAAAAAAATCTCTGCAACAGAGCCAAGTGATGAATAACTGTATAATGTGAGATGCACACACATGGGGTTGCTGCTGGCTGCACTTCAAATTTAGATACTGTATAGTATAATGACAAGCCCCAGAGCTTAATGTTGAAGCATTTTTAGCTTGCTTACTAGCTCATCATAGAGGATCTATGCAGGTTTTTCGTACTTAAATATAGAAACTCAAATCAATATCGGATAGTTATGTATGTATGCATGTGCCACATGTGTGCCACAAGTAGTTGAATAATTAACGGTTGATATTTTATGACAGTGGTGTTAAGCTTCATAGAGAAGCTGAAAAGAGAATGTAAGTGTAATACTCACATACTTCTTTTTTGGTTGTTGTCTCTCAGGGCTTCCATAGAGTTTTGATGGAAATACTGTAGAATTATTCAATTCTTCTTCAGAGAACTTGTCAACAAAAGCTGAGCCTCCTCACCAACTTTGCTCATTCAAGCCAATGAAGAAAGCATTTAATTTACTCACAATCAAGTTAAAGGATTTCAAGGCTTCATGCAGTTCTTCATGCAATCATGTTGGTTATTTTTGCCCAACATGAAAACGCCACCATCATATGCAGTTACCAGTGTGTGTGTGTGTGTGTGTGTGTGTGTGTGTGTGTGTGTGTGTGCGTGCGTGCGTGCGTGCGTGCGTGCGTGCATGCATGTGTGGGCATGCACACATATGTATAGTATGAGATTGACCAGATGAGTTTTTTGATTGACAACAATGAGCTTTAATGGCAGCTCGATAACAGCCGTGCTTAAGATGTGATACGATATTTATAGACGAATTATACCCACTCTCACACACCAGCATGCACACACACACTTTCAACAGTGCAGAAGGCAGCAGAGTGGATGCATATTGACGCACTTTAACCATGAAGTATTACTAGCTGTTAGACAACTGTTATTATGTTCTCAAAGTGGATCTTTGAAGACTTTGGACCGAATCAAGATATTAATAAAGTCAAACTTTGTATGAGCACGCCAGCTACTGTAGTGCTCTTATCCTGAATCACACAAAGGCAATCAGAGTCCATTCAAATCACCATGAGGGAGGAATCTAAATCGACATTTAAATCACGCAGCAGAATTATATGGAAAGTGAGTTTCTTGTTCTCTCCACAGTTGTTTGAGTGAGGACCTCTGAGACAGAAATATGATGAACTCACTTTGAGAAGTAATCTTGTGTTGTTTTTTTTTTTTTGCTGAAAGCCAACCTTGGCAGGAGTTTCAGTGCAGACAGAACATTAGGTTTGTTAATAAAGGGGCTTCGCTGAGTGCCTATTACATTGGTGGATGTCTTTAAATTCTGGTCTAGAACCAACAGTATGAGTACAATCAAACTGCACAGTTCAGGATGATTCATTCAGTTTATTCAAACAGTATAATATTTTGAGTTAAACTTTTTTTTTTAGTTTTTTTTTAAAGAAAACACTTAAGTTGTAATCATCTTTTCAAACTTGAGCTATGACAAAAACATAAAAAAAATCAGAAACAGCTATCTGGTTAAAAAAAAAAAAAAGAACACTAATATGACTCATCTCAGTACAATCAAATCAAGTGTTTGATTAAGGCGTCATAAATCATAAATCTCCAAACTAACCTTAATAACAGAAGCATGAACAGGAGAAGAGAGAAAACTGAATAAAAGTGGGATTAAGAGGGAGAAGGCGAGGGTGACTGTTTGTCTGTACGGCTGCAGATAAAATGAGAACGTTTGACTGTTGAAGACACAAAGAGGCAGGGAGGGGCTGTGTATGAAGCACTGGCATAACCAATAGAGATGGTAGGTAGCAACTGCTAAAGCAAGCCAGAATATTAGAAATTCAATGTCCTCTCTCTCTCTCTCTCTCTCTCCGGCGCTCCACTCTTTTCCACTCTCCTTTGTCTCCTGCAATTTCTGTCTTTTTTTTTTTTTTTTTGTAAAGAAATCCAGCCATTTTCGCTCTCTGCTGTTGTGTGGATGGATGCTACTAACGCTGCAGACCTGTCACTCATTCACCTCTGTGGGGGGAGGCGGGCTCATTGCCTCAGTTGGGGGAAAGTGACTGAGCGGAATGGTTGATTGGCAGAATGGAGTGGGAGAGGAGGCAGTGGGGTGGGATGCTTAGAAAGTGGAGCAGATGAGCACAGAGGAGGGAAGGATATAGAGCGTAAACAGTCTCTTTAAAACATACAAACAAGGGGCGGCCAGCGTGATAGAGAGACAGTACATACTCTGATACTTCTTGAAATTTGCTGTGATGAGAATACAGGAAAAAGAGAGACATGGGTTTACAAAGCAGGGCGACACCTGAATACAGAGATAAGCCTGGACAGCTGAATACAGTGTACGAGTGATTTCTTTTCTCTTTTGAAAAAAAAAAAAAAACCTTGTGGGAGTGCGGATGAACAGGCTTGATGTGATTTTAAAATACTTGCTGCTGGCATGATGTTAGCCGACCAACCACCCCCAAAAGACCGGTTGAACAGATGTGATTGAAGAGAAGAATATGTTAAAAATACCTGCTTGGAGGCGGGTGTGTATAAACAGTTAAGTTGTAAAACAGCCAGTGGGTAAAAGCAAATCTGGCAGTGGTGAGTTGTGCAGGACCATTGGCTTAGATTTCTGCGTCTGGCCTGTAAGAGGATGGTCATTTGTAATGCATGGCGAATACATAACAGCCTTTGCAGAGTTTAGGAGAACATTTATGTCTCCTGTGTAGGTTGAGGTTTCATCAGAAATTGGCAAACGTGTCATCTGTTACCTCAACACAGCCGCAGTTCTTAAAGTATTTAGGAATGAATTTGTGAAGGACATTAAAGTTTCACAGATTAAGTCGTTCTTTCTTCCTCGACCACAAGGAACCTGAAGAAAAAGCGAGAATTTATAGTATGTCCGTTCTGAGGAATGCAGAGAGAATCTCAGTCTAGCCCTGGATTGTCATTCTGTATTGTGATGAAACTTTGGTCATCTGGGTGGTGCAGAGGGCGGCCCTGGCTTGGTCCAGTGTGTCAGGCTCAAGGACAGTTGGATGGGGACCGGAGAAGTCGGCGGTGCCCTCCCGGTTAGACGGGCCTCTCTCCCCTTCAAGACATCACCGCTCGCAGGGCTGATGATTTAATTCAAGCCCATAAGATTTCAAAGACACTAATGCAGTGTCGCGAGGGCTGCTCATGACACTTTTATGAAACACATTTGGCTTATCTGAGGCCTGTACCATTGGTGAGGCAAAGGAAGCCAAAAGCGAAATGATGTGATCGAGGAGTTTGCCAAATTTCAGGGGCATCGGGCAGATAATTTGAGAAAGCCTGGTTGCAGGAGTTCTCCGCTGCTTTGGCAGTGACTGGGGGTGTTGATGGGCACAGAGTGGCGGATCAGCTGTTTGGTTTGGATTAGAAGGCAGGTGTTCCAGGGATAGCCCTGAGAGCAGATTGTACAGATGGAGATGACTGTGCATAATGATACTTTGCTACAAGGCTGATTAAAGTTATTGCCAAATGTGTGATTGGCCCTTGTAATGTTTTTGTCCCAGCGAGATGGTTGTCAGATAGGAGGATCGGAGGGAGAACTGAAGTGCATGAAAGTGTTTGGTGGTATTTAGACGTTGTGTGAGAGCGGCGGCGAAGCCCGGGAAGCCACAGGCAGAGATGGTAGGTGGTTAGAAACGCCCACAGTGTAAATTACACGCATTACATCCAAAGAGTCCCAAAACATGGAGGTGAGCGAGCTGGCTTCTGTTAGAGCGCTGACCAGAGACGGCCGGGCAGATATACCAAAGCAGCACCCAGGGAGACGTGTGATGAAGACGCATGCTGAGGTACACAGACAACAGAGGAATTTCACAAAGCATTAATAGTGGGAGAGACACCGGCTGAAGACGGATGCCGATGGAAAAATATCCTCTTTAACAGTTGCAGTTCTCTGGTTTACTTCTTACCTGATGCATCCACGGTTGCGATTCACAACCGAATCAGCTGGTTTCTTGGTGGTTGGATTTGGCGACTATGACGTTAAAGTGCTTGTAATTTGAGGACAGTGAGTAAGAGTTGTGGGTGTGGTTTCAGTCTGTCTTCCACACGCAGTATTGGACTCTTTTTTTTTTTGAATCAATGCTCCTACATGTCTTGATGCTCAGTAAGAGCTGAGCATCAAGACTCAACTGTGGTATATTTCAGAATTGTGCATTATAATTAAGGCATAAACAGTATCAGTGTAAAGATACTGTGAAATTTCCATTTAGGTGCTTGTTGCGTTGCATTATAGGCCCTTGTCTATATGTATAGAAGACCCCAGTGGAGTCTGGCAGCTGCTGTAAAGTGGGGCTTAAGCGGTGCTGAACACAGGAGCATCATGTTGATGAGTTGTGGCCATCATACCTTGCTAGATAAATGTGCTGCATCTGTGACATTATGCGACTCTCTCCAAAGGTGCCAAAGAGGTGAATGCGAGCGGGAAGACATTTACTGTACGGAGCTCTCTGAACCTGCGAGTGGACAGAAATGATGATGGAGTGGCCTACACCTGCAGAGTGGACCATGTGGCACTCACACAGACAACACAGCAGGCCACCGAAGTGCTGGAGGTCCACTGTGAGTGTACACACAAAGACATGCACACACACACACACACACACACACACACACACACACACACGGAGTGCACACGTGGACACGCTGTAAGAGAAAAGGAAAGATACATGAAAGAGGAAGTATCCTGAGCGGTCTGCCGAAAGCCTGTTAGCTGCCAGTCAACCTAATAAGAGCCACATTAGTAGCAGTGGTTACCTTTTTTTACATGACATTTACCTGCATTTTCATCAGACAATATCAAGCTGATATTGGATGAAAATGTAATCATTTATCATCCATGAAGATCTCCATGTGCTGTGTATAATTTGTGATAATAATCTTGTAATTATATCATTAATCACAGTTCTTTTTCATTATATATTTTATCAAAATTTGTCACAGGGTGATTTCTTAAAAAATGATCTATATTTTGATTAATATAATATATATATTATATATATATATAGTCATATTTTTTTGTTTTTTTTTTTTTTTTTTTTTTTTTTTTCAAGAAAAACATCTAACTCAATGGGATGACAAGTTTTGCCTCATGGCTTTCTTTCCGTTCTCTTTTGAATATTAAGTAAATCATAACATCACGACACGTCAATATTGAGATAATCATGGGATCCTCTCTGTCCGTCCTAGATCCTCCTCGTGTGGAGATCATCCACTCCCTTGCAATTCCTCAGGAGGGTCAGTACTTAAAGCTGGAGTGTGTGTCCAAAGGAAACCCTTCGTAAGTCCTTTAAAATTTCGTATTACTCGACGTCAGCCTTTTATATAATGCTTCAGACAGGTAAATGTAGCACGCCTTGTTTCTCTTTCAAATCCTCTTACCTCCCAGGCCAGATCCTGTGATGTGGACAAAGGACGGGGGTGAACTTCCTGACCTGGACCGTATGATTGTAGAGGGGAGGGAGCTCACCTTTACTTCACTCAACAAGACAGACAATGGCACCTACCGCTGCGAAGCCACCAACCACCTAGGGACCAGCCAAGCTGAATATGTACTCTACGTCTACGGTGAGTTCAGAGGGAAGGTTGATATGTGGGCAGTCGTGTTTCACAAGTTAAAGAAACAGAGAGAACTCTTCATAGGTTATTTGACACCACAGAGAGATGAAGGATGTGTCAGAGAAAGAAAAGCTGCACGAGGATGCCTTGGACACAGTAATGCTACATAGAAATAGTGTGAATCGCAACAACTCCATTGCAAAAAGCAGGATTATAATACCTCCTGATCTGCATACTATATCAGTGCTAAGAGTGATTAGTGGTGCCATCTCTCTCTGGGAGAATAAGGGCCTCAGGTGACAAAAATGCCACCAACGCCTTTCCTTAAATAAACCTGCGTCCCAGATCCTCCTCACACACACACACACACACACACACACACACACACACACACACACACACTGGGAGGGAAATGTGTGAGGGAGGCAGAATTTAGTGCTGCGTTGTCAGGAATATCACGAGGAAGGATAAGTAATTCCTAGTAACGCCAGAGGAGGTGGAGGATAAAGGGACTCAGTGTCAGGGAAAACAGATAGCTCTTCCTCTCTTCCGTTTCTCCACTGCCATTTGTCTCTTGGCATTAAGTAATAATGCTCTAAAAAAAAAAAAAAAGGGCAGAGCAGTGGCACATCTCTTTTCCCTTTGTGTTTCGGAGCTCAGACGGTGTGTGATGAGGGACAAAAAGGCAGGTAGTTTTTGGCTGGAGAGACAATAAAACTGGAGGCAAAAGGGAGTTTCTCTGAGTGGATCAATAAAATATTACATTAGTATTATTATTACATGCACCCTCACGGGGGTGTTTCATTTGCTCTCTTATTTAAAAGCGGACCTAATCTAATGAAAAACATGAGAAAATAAACCTCTCAAGTGCCAACAGCTATGCTTTGCCACAGCCAGAGTGATTTCTAAATTGTTCATGAATTCTCCTTGATGAGATTACAGTAATAACAAGATGTGGAGCCAATGAAGGGTGTTACTATCAGGAGTTCGTGAAGTGGCTGTAACCAAGGCCACAGAAACGGGTGAAAACCTCTGGTGGAGGCAGGGATGTTAAAATATTAAATGCTAAACAACATAATAAACGGTAATCGTTGGCACAGTTTGGCCTGAGCAGACAGTCCACACATTCCTTCCTGGACGCGGGCAGATGATAAAATCTACTATGTGGACTGGAAATATTATCGAGAATTGCAAATCTTATCCAAATTGCAGGACCCGCAGTTTTTTTGTTTTGTTTTGTTTGTTTTTTTTTGTTTCGTTTTTTTTTAGTTTTTTGGTAAAGGTAAAATGTGTCACAACATACCACAAATGAAGCATTGTGGTGTTACAGAGATGCCCCGGCCGATGAATCGTATTATCCAGACGTAAGGGAACATGCGTGGTTAGTACAAAACCCAGGAAAAAAAATGACATCGTCATCATTTTTGTGTTTTTTTTTCTCCAGTGAAAATGAAATGCAAAAATTTCCATTCCCACAAAAATTGCGACTCGTATCAAAATCACAATATCTGCCAAAATAATCACGATATGATTTCTTTTTGCATATCGCTCAGTCCTAATGTGCGACCTTGCAGTCACGTGCATACAGAATGTATAACATAAGCTTGAACAGAACAATGTCAGCTCTCCACACCCCTTACGGTGGAGGCATAAGTTTGTACACTGACTAAGGTGGACTGTTGATTACAAAAGAAAAGTCTCCCAGATCTTGAGATCTTTAATTTTATTACTCATCACACAAAGTAGCTACTGTAGAGAGGCATATGTTAAAATACAAACTTCTTAGTTTTCCAAATACAGTTATATCAATGTTCACAGTTCTATTACTAATGCAATACTTAAATAAATTACTATGTTACAATTATTTGCATTCATAGCCACAGAACAGGTCAGCACTGAGGAATGATTTTTTTTAGGCTTATTTTTCCTTGAAATTCAAATCTGTGTGAAGCAGAATTCACATACAGTTGGCAGGGACGGGCAGGTTTAAGTGTTGCCTGCCCATGTCTGAATCTGATCTCCATGCTGGTTAAATTATCATAATTAAAAAAGGACACAGCAGCATATTGATTAGGATCACTTTAATCATTTATTGCTCCACTCAAATATGCCTCTTATTAATTAAACCTTAAAATTTTCATCACATGCTCTATCTCTGGGATTCTGCACTTCCTATCCAATTCCCCACTAACCCCTCACCTAATTGCAGTGCATAGTTTAGGAAGGTTTAATTTGTGTGCTTGTCCCACATGCCAAGGTGTCTGCATGCACCTAACAATTCCTTCAAATGCCAGCCCAGTGTAACAACAAGAATAACCAATGCACGTAGTGACAGTGATGTTATTAAACTGACGAATTCTACGCCACAAAAAAAAGGCAATTGGGTATGGGAGGGTCAAAGATTCCCATCCAGATTCATTACTTGTTCTTTTGAAATGGCACCCAGTCTGTTCCTACCCTTCATTAGTGATTAGCACACCTTTTAGCCTTTCACAATTGCTGCCATAATTCTTGGAAAATACCTTTTTAATGGTTCCCCTCCAAAGAGGAGACATTTTCCCTCTCTCCCCAAGACATGCACTTAGCTGCTTAGTGATTCACAGTGAGGCTGAAATGTCACCGAGACGCGCAGGACAGTCGGCCCTGAGAAGGAGTACCTCGGCCAATTAAAAGCCTCTAGCTCGCTATAAAAAGCAGAGTGACATAAACATAAAAGCCAAGGTGGTAGTGTAACCTCATTAACTTTGTCACACTACGTTTCAGTAAGAAACACTGCCTTGCTTAAAGCACTTTAACCATAATCCTGTAGTGGGGAGTCAAAAACAGAGTATGGCGATGAGGGCTTGGCTAACTTTTCCTGAAATCACCCTTGCAAACACTCACTGATAATTGGCACGAGATCATTTGTCAAATTACCGTCATAATTTGGTGTAATCCAACTTTCTCCCCTGAGAGGTTCCCCCGAGCAGGATCTGTCTTCACGGACATCAGCCAACATTACATTACACTTTAAGTACATATCTCATGATCTCATGACTAAAGATTTTGCACTTTTCCTACGACATGCCAACGGGCTACTCACACCCATGTGGAAAAAGTCAGATTATAGACATCATTATCCCTGTATTTTCCTTGATGGACATTTGTTATTTATCAATTCTCACCCTCACTTTCTATACAGTCTATACTATATACTCTGTGCAGCATATACAGTATTTATATATAACAATTATAAAACAGAACTATGATAATGACCCAACACATGGTGCCACTGACCGAAGAGAATCATTAGGTCAATCTTAATTTGAGGCTTAACTCAGCAGCTGCTCTGCAGGTCGTTTAAGGTTCATCCACTAACACAACAAAATATTTAGTTGCAAGATACATCGATTTATCAGAGTCCACAAAATTCTCCTGAATTAGTGAGAAATTTTGCTCTTTTTTTTGTTTCCTGTCACAATGTATTATTTTGCCTTTAACCAGTTTGTGTTGCTCTTTTAAAGTATCTAACTCCCCCCATGTGAATTCTTTTTTGTTGCTGTTGTTGTTGTTGTTGTTGTTGTTGTATTATTTTTGTGTACATGTGTCTGTCTATCCCTTCCGCCAGAAGCCCCCACCACCTTGCCTCCATCCACCACTCCCCCCCTACATCCCATCCCTCCAGATCCTACTGCACTATTAGGCACCCACGCCTCAGACCCCACAGTCACTGGCAACAGAGGTACAGTACTGCCCCTCGCGTCTCCACATCCTCCTCAGCATGCCACTGTATATTCCCGCTTCCCTCTCACTTTCATGTCTCTGTCTTATGACTTCTCTCTCAGCTACTTCACTGCCTCAAGCGTCGGCGTGCCTGTCTCATGTGGACGCACTAAGACATGTAGACACTGACAACTGGAAGAAAAAAAAAAAAAACGCCCAATACCAAACGTACTTCCTGGGACACAATTCTTTCCTCTCTTCTGATACTGTGTTCTTCTATCTTTTTGTTTCTCTTTTTAATCCTTCAGGACTGTAAACGGACTTTTCAGTGCATGATGACTTACATGTCTATTGAAATTCACTTGTTTTGTGTTATCACATCAAGGGGCGCTATTCATATTTGACTTTAAGACACACTCCAGGTCATTGTATTCAAAAGGAGTCTAGCTGTTCAAATGCCCCATCCACTGTCCCCTTGGTATTTCAAAGACTTCAGTACTTCTGTGGCCTGAAACCTCAAAGAAGCAAATGTCATGTCCAACTGAAAATGTCTGGCCACTGGAGATGTCTCATCATGACTCCTAATGCCGTGTTAAATCTTAGAGAATTCTGACTTAGAAGGAGAGTTGTCATAGTAGCTGCCGCATGGACATTTTACTGCTAAGACTGAGTATTCTGTGTTTTTTACAGAATGGGTTTCTGATTAGTGTGAATGCTGTTGTTATAATCCTTTCAGCATTATACTATAAAATATGAATAATGGGATGTCATCTATAATGAGGCTGAAAAAGAAGTGGGAGAGGCATAAAATGCTGAGGCTATCCCAAATTTCAAGCATCTCTTATCCCTGCAGAGCCTAATGAAATGCCAAGAGTTATGGTTATGGATTTAAGCTTGAAAATCCCTGATATGCAGTGTAAATTCAATTGCCATCATCGTCCTGCAGCGCTAATGCCAACCACACAAAGCATGTTTTCTGGACACCAAACCCCCACCCATAATAGTGATAATGTCTCACCAAATCAGCAACTGTCGAGACAGTGGAGGCAGAGCTGGAAGCGCGAGCCCTTACCCTTCCTTCTGATGTAGGTCACCGAGGTGGTCAAAACACCCTGCAGTCATAAGGTGCCAGATGGACGGGATTACTGAGATGGCGAAATTGTTGTTTGGTTATCTCGGTTGGCGTGCCTCTCTGGTGTTGCGTGGAGGTCGGGGGACAGCACCTACGGGCTTGCAGATGTGTGGGTGGTCTGAAGGTGTTTTACTGGGATATTACGCTGCTCATCCTTCCCAGTAAAGCTCATACCAGGGTTCTGCAAGGACGACTCAGATGGGACAATGTAGATTCCGTCTTGGTTGTTAAACAGTGGACTGGCACTTTGCTCTGGCAAGGATAGCCTTCTGCAGGGTTCATGGGAGTTTGCACCTCCACTCATGCATGGAAATGGGAGGACTTGAAAAAGGCTTGTGTCTGTGTCTCCTGTGGTGTCTTACTGGGTGCACTGTGGGATTACATGTACTAGGGTTGTTGTCATGAGCAATCCAAGCACACTGAAAGAGAGGCAGCATAAAAGTTGTAGCTTGTCACTAGTTCTGTTCGATTGAGTGCTCAGTGTCCATTTTGATGACCTCAGGATAACATATCAGCTTCATGCCAATAATGTATATTGTGTTGTCCTCTATCGCATGATGCTTTCGATTTACTAGTCTATCTTTGCAGCCAGCCATCCACCAAAAGTCACTAGCTCTGAGTAGTGACCGAAAGGTTGAGACTGTGCATTTTAATGGCTGACATCAATCCCCATTGTCAGTCAGTTGAGCTGGTTTAAGAATCTGATGGAGATGTCCTCCTCTGGAAGTATCTGGCTCTGCATTTAAAGGAGCTAGTTTCCATGAAAAAGAAGAAGAAGAGACCAAGATGTCAACATGATAAGCCTCTCTATGGAGGCTCTTCGGCACATCCAACTGGGAGGAGATCTTTGAGGTAGATCCAGACTGTGCTGGTTGGATTACATATTCCACCTGACATGTGAGAGCATCAGGATCCTTCAGGAGGAACTAGAGGACATAGCTGGGAAAAAGGATGCTTTTGCATCACTTTGACCTAAATATGCAGTCGTAAATACACCGAATGGATATCACGAACCTCTAGGGAGGTAAAGATGCTCTAGCTCCTGAGTCTTTATCTCCAAGGGATATCTGTATGTATGTAATTGTTATGTGATTTTACATCATTAATTTAAGATCTCCCTTAATAATCCAGAGTGAACAGTTGGTCTTCCTTTTTTTTTTAACGATTATTAGTTATATTAGCAGTTGGACAGGAATTGGTAAAATATCAATGTCACTTTCAGGACATTTCAAAAGCCTCTGTGTGACTAAGTTGCACACTTAATCACACAAAGGTATGAAGTGAAAATGATCATTGTTTGGTTGAATTTCAGTCGGCCGGTCTCTTTCCACGCAGCAACATTATGACAATAATGCTGACATGGCTCCATGTCTCCTACAGCAGAGTGATATGTCAATCAAAGTCTGCCAATGTGCTGCGTTCGGCTGTATGCAAAGGAGCTTGTTCACTCATGCATCATCTGGATCATGGTTTGACAAACAGCCTTTGACTCAACACCTCTAATTCAGCTTCAAATGCATTACATAGCCGAGCAGCCGAGAAGCATGTGTCCGTTCTCTCATCATATAGATGTAGTCGACTTTACCTTCTGTCTTGTCTCTGCTTTTTTGCTCCCTCTCTCCATTCCACTCAACTTCACGGTGCTCTGCGGTCCCATTCATTCAGAATAATTTCCTCTCATCACCGCTGCTTTCTCTAAATTACCATCTTTAAAGTCCTTCAGGAGCCTCAAATCCCCTTCTACCTTCCCTTAGTTTTACTTTAACTCTAAGCTTTTGTTTCAAATTTCCCTCACCCACTTTGTCTCTTCTAACCTCACATCTCTCTGAAGACCCTGTTTGATAACAGGCTTCCACACGTTGTTGGATATTCCTCATCAGTGTGTCTCAGTTCTTCTCTGATGCCTGTTTGTGTAGCGCAGAGACACAAGAGGAGCTGAGTCTCTCAGTGTATCTTCAGGGAATCTAAATATCAGACTCCTTCACTGCGTCCCCAGTCACAGGATACTACACTATCTTCTTTCATGTGTCTACTTGATTTATTACCAGGTCTTTTCACAGGCTCTGGATGAAAGCAAACAACTGTGGAGCTGCACCATCCCCGTGACGTTTTGTCTTTTTAATAAAGTTGTCTGGAAGAGGAAATACACACTGTAGGTTTAGCACTAGAGCCTGTATGCAGAATATTAGCATATTATATGCCTGATGATCTTTCACGTGCATCCTTCTCTGTTCTGCTGTGTTCTTGCATCTTACTATTCATAATGGATGTTTCCAAACAGCACAAGACTGTGACAACAAAGGCTTATGCATCTTTCAACAAGAAACAGTCTGGGGAGAAAATACATAATCACCAACCACTGTTTTGATAAAAACCAAGTGCTTTTGACTATTTTTAATCTAAGATCATGAGTGTCCGAAGTCTCCCAGGCCTTCACTGTTAACATATTAGTAATAATTGTGAGTCAAGAGTGAGGTCTACTTGGCTGTGATCTTAATAAGCCGTGTTAGCTATATTTGCTACAAATCTGGATCGAAACAAACGGGATGTTGTATTAATTCAGTCTTAAATAACCTTAATGTTTATTAGAATAAATTTAGATTTGGTTTCCTGTAATATTGAAAATAGGTTGGTTATAGTTGGTTATAGCTGCAAACCTAAGTGGTTATTTTACTAAGCTTTGGGCAGCTAAAAAATGTACTATTAATATTATTATTTTTATCATTTATTTTTTCTGGGTGGGAAAAATCTGAATGAGTTGAGAGAAGATTGAGGTCCGGATGCTGTAAGTGTTGGTTTTTGTGCTTTTCATTTGTTTTCTGATATGTTAAAAAGAAATAGCCTCGGGGCGCCTCAGTGGCTCATCCGGTAGAGCACGTACCATTTCGGCTTAGTCCTTACCGCAGCGGCCCGGATGGAAATCCCTCCCTCTCTCCCCAACTTTCCTATCTTTTTCTCACACTAACTATAATAAAGGGGGAAAAAAAGCCTCAAAAATAACTTTAAAAAAAGAAGAAAGAAATAGCCTTAAATTCACCAACAAGATACCGTCCCACGGAATCAAGACTGAGAAAAGATCAGTATTTTAATTACATGTGTAAATTGTCCAGGGAGCTGAAAACAACTGCTTCCACTTTCTGTAGGTAGCAATGAGTTGTTTTCTTCTCAGTACTTAAAGGATCTGATGTTCTGTATTTACCTAAATGTGTTTGTAAGATATGAAATGTGAAGATATTTTTCAGTATAATTTCACAATAAGAGTTTTTTATGATTTTGATTTTGCTGACATGGTGACAGTAAGTATACGTTAAGTGGCTAATACAATAAATGGAAGCATTTATTCACCCTTGTAGGGATAAATATATATATATCATATTGTAGACTCAGTGGTTCTAATGGGACATGTAAATTTGACAGTAACCCGTTCCTTTAATTCTAGCTGTTGCTGACCTTTGCAGTGTAGCTAGTGCCCAGTTATGCGCGAGATTCCTCTTGTTTTTCATCCGTACTGTATAATGGCAGGACTGATGTATAACCGCAGTCTGTGATTCACTTTATTAATGAAGTGCTGGCAGGTATGCCCAACACACACACTGCTTCAGTAGCCCAGCCAGCCTTAATGGCTATAATAACTCTTTCGCTAAGTATCAGAGGTCTATGCAATGTCATCAGACCCCCCCCCCCAACCCTTCAACGAGCACACGCACGCACATACACACATTCTCCTCCCCCCACCGCCTCTGATTTCTCTCAAATGTGCCAAATGCTTTTTCATGGCTTGCTGATTAGCTGTGACCTTGCGAAGCTGAAAGGTTGAATCATGAACAAGGGTTTCCTTTGGTGTTTAAAATATTTACTATTCACTTCTCATAATCAGCATTCGTACG